TCCTATACATTCAAATTTAAATCTTCCAATTATCGTTGATGAAAAATAGGTTCTACATGTATTAACAGTTATAAATAATCTACATTTGTCAAGATAACTGAGCTTATAACTGCTTTTAATTAAAAATACGATAATGAATGTTCAAAACTTACGGTGGGTGGGATTCCTATCATTACTGCCCTATTTTCATTTGTTTATATTTGGACATACCTTCAAACTAGTTTGTTAATAACGAAGACAATATCTAGGAGCTGGCAAGCAACAAGCAAAGAAACCCTAGGAGTCGTCGTCCTGTTTTAGGTCGGGAGCTTCATCCCCTTCCCTTCTATTCTCCTTCATACTACTCCTCCCTCCCTCTCTGACCATACTTTCCTCTTCCCATCTATTCTCCTCTAGTCCATTTTCACAACAAAGCGTGTGATAGAGGGTGGAGGAGAGTTAGAACGAGAAGCTTCAAATGTAGGGGTTTATTCCCCGTAGTATTTTCGGTATTTTCCCGTACTTGGCAAACCATGATGCTCTTCTCTCCCCTTGGCAAATTTGGTTATCTATGTTATGGATATGGATGGCCTTGGTTGTGCATCATTTGTAGAGCAAATTGTTGCTGCTCTTTTAGTCGATGTTGCTAATATCCATCATATTGCTAATCAAGATGGCTATCTATGTACTTTTCCAATTGATTTAATATAATACTATAACTTATTTGATAAAAAATAATGAAAATATCTTGTTTACCACATTACTTGGTGATTAAATTTAGAACAAATGTTTATTCTATCATTATTAATAGGTGAAATAAAAAATTCATATTTGCATAGATGAGTAACTTTCATATACACAATCTTATTGTTAAATAAAATGAAGCCAATAAATTTAAAAAAATTCATAACAACCTCCAATTTCGTATGGGAAGGCAGGTGCGTGTGAGTGTTTTTTGTTTGTGTATTGAAGTGGATGGTATGAAACAGACGTGACTACAGCTGCCTTTATAGGAGCGTGGGTTGGCATCATAATTTGTTTCCCTTTTGCCTCACTTTAAACTTTTCTGTCAGTCCCACCCACCGCACTACCTTTTTTTTCTTTTCTTTTTTGCCCCTTTCATTCTTAAATTATTGCTTTCGACCCCTACATTCTTTATATTATTATCTTAACCCTCTTCTTATTTATTTAGGCACCCACCTACTTTTGATAAACATGCCACCTCATATTCTTTCTTTCTCTTTTGAGAAAAATAGTTTAGGGAGAGATTGACTGCTCTCACAACCATCACTAAGGTAGACCCACAACCTCGAGTATGAAGGACTTATATGTTGCACCCAATTTCCAGCTGTCATCGATATGAATTTATGTAGAAAATTATTGATCGGGCACCAATGAGGATTATTGGCAACGAGACTCAAACATTGATAGGGCTACACACAGTGCAGAGACCATACCAACCCTCACTGACATGCCTACCACCTCAATTCATTAATAAAGCATAACATTGAATTTTGAAGTGCCCATATCCGTTCTCATTTCTTTTCTATTTTCTTCCTTAACTATTGTTTATTCTTTTATTTAAAAACCTTTTTCTCTATGTTTTGATTTCACTGGCTGCCTGTGTTCTTGTTTCTCTTTTTGAAGGTCAAATGCCATGTTGGTAAGTTACCCAGTTGGGAAAACCATGAACAAAATATTTGTCTCTTTCACCAAGTTTAGGTGTATTGCTAAATTTTTCAACACCTTTTATACATCTTTATTTATTTTTCATTTTTCCTCTAATTTTAAATGTAAATAAAGTAAATATCGATATGTGGTTTCCCTGTCTTGAGCCATAACAAACAAGTGTTTGTCATTTTTCAATCAATCAGATTCAAAACCCAGCAAAATTATTGATTATTTGCAAACAAAAACAGAAAGCGGACGAAATAAAGAAATCATGATAGCGAAATCCCACGGAGTCTGTATGTAGGGTAAAATCAGATTAAGAATATAACAAAGACAAAATTCATAAAGTTGGGGTGACAATTTGTTTTGACATCATAGTGCTCTGCTAATGGTGATCAAATTAAAATCCTTAAAACAATGTTTGTAATGACGTCCTTTGACTAAACTCCTTTGTCTGTCGGTCTGTTTTGTTGCTTGTGCATTGTGCCGGTGGGTGGTAAAATTGTAAATGAAGTCAATTATTGCTTATGCTTTAGCTTTCTTTTTATAACTAATGTATCAATATGTTTTTAAACTTTTTTATGTTATCGTTAAAACAAATGATGAGTATTGCTAAAACATTAATTGTGTCGCTCACTTATATTATAAAAAGTACTATGTGACGGTCCGACAGTCACACATGAGAGTATTTTGCGATGCTTGTGTGCCAATTATGCAAGTTAATAATTGCTGCATGAATGTGAAGGAATTGAATCCAAGCTGTTGTTTTGTTGGATTCACACGAAAATATGATAAAAACTGAAGAACCTTGACCCCTGGCTGAAATTAGCAGAAAGAAGAACGGCAACATGGGCCTACACAAACAGAGTTGTATGCACATAAGTACTAGAAGAAAAGTGAAAAATGCCAAGACTCAAGGCTCAAGGCCATTCTAATTTGTTGGGTTTCTTTGTTAATCTCATTGCCAGCCAGCGACAAATATTTGACTTTACTAAAAAGTGGACGGTATTTTTTCAAAATGCCTAAAGTTTTGCAATTTTTCACAATAGCTACACCTACAAGTGCGGAGTGTGGACACAACCCTAATCATCATATTCCCGTTAATTTTTGTTTTCCACAATCTATGATTTGGTTCAATTTTAGAAAAAAGAAGGTCAATGTAGATGTAGGGATTAGTGTTGCTATCAGTATGAATTTTACCAATTCAAATGATTTCAAATTGACTAGTTTTATTGGTTTGATAATCGCTATCCATCATTTGCGTTCATGGCAATGTATATTTTTCGGCCTCGATAATAATTCGGTCATTGTTTTACATGGTATCATCATCTATCAATGAATTTAAATATATATTCTCAATTTATGTGGCAATTGATGTGCATATTACATCATTGCATCAGAAAACAAATTATATTGTAAAACCCAATGAAATAAGACCATGTAAATCGGGGAGAAGAAAGCCGAGAAGAAAAGTTAGCATTTATAATATGTATGAATACAAATAAGATAAGAGAGATAAAAATATATATGCATACATCAAAATGTGCTTTTGTCACATATCTACACATAGTTTCACTTAAAACCTATGAATTTGAGCATACAATAAGACCAAAACACAAACAACCCCACCTAAAAAACCCTAGAGTCCCCCACTTGTGCACAACCATGTGAGACATTAGAAAATTAGAAATACAAATCAAGTGGGCCACCACCCCTTCCTTATCTAAGCACCATTCTTCACTCTGTTGTCCCCCTTTGCTCCCAAAGCCCAAACCCAAACCTAAACAGGAATCTCTACCAAAGGACTTCACTCCCACTCTCAATCCCCACGCGTGATCTCATCTGCCACTGCACGGCATAAAACTATACATTTACACGCGTTACAAAAGGCGCGTGGGGGGTAATAAAAAGGGTCCATATCAAAGGGGAGGGCCCAAATGACTAAAGGCGTCGCTTTTGCAGAAGGCCCCTCGACTTTTACGCGGGTGCTGCCTCTGCGCTCTCTGCCTCTCTCAGCCTTTCATCGTACTTTTGTCACGTCAATCATCTGCACGCGCCCCGACCTCGCCACTGTGCTTACTCTCTATCTCTCTTTCTCTGCCTCCCTCCCCACCGTACGCGTGTCGCTGAGGAAGGGCTATTTCCGTCATTTTCGAATAAGTTACCTCCTCCCACCGAGCCAGCTGCAACAGTCCATAAGCGCAGGTCAGAAAATTTTCTCCCTCTTTGCTTTTCTTCTTCGTTGCAGGGTACTTTACTCATATATCATATCCCGAGATGCGGAGGGACACGTGGCGGGAGATGTGTGGTGGATAGGACCCACTTAGGAACTGGATCGGTCTTTGTCCCTGCAGGGGCTTGTCGGCTACTTAATAAGGTTAAAGGTTATGTTGATCGTACGGCCAGGATTCATGAATGGGCCAAAACTGAGTTGAGGCGTCAGAGGCCAACCCAGAGCTATAAATCGCAGGTCGAGACGGATTACTGCCAAACGCCAAACTACCCTATTTATCCCAATTTCTACTTTTTTCTTTTAATATTATAATCACATCTTATGTTTTTCTTAAAAGAAAAATCTGCTAATTTTTACTACCCGAAAATTACAAATCTCTCCCAAAGAAAAATGGATTGTGAAGCACTATAGTCACAATGTTATAATGATTTCGGATACAAGCGATATTGAGAAGGAGATTTGAATACGGAAATTCGAGTGCACGGTAATTACTTTTACTATTTGAATGACAAACTCTGTAACTCATGGAATTTTTTTTGAGGAGTTTAGCTTGTTGATATGGTGGAATTTGCCCAAAACTGCAGACGGGCTTTAAGATGTGCCTAAATCCATATATCAAGGCAAACTACTATATTTCAAAAGCCCATATATATGCAAGAAATACAAACATTTTTGCAGGATGAGCCCAAATCATAAAATAAAAGTATGATTATAGCTTGTCTCTTTAAAATTGAGGAGTAGCTCCTCCTTACAACCACAACCACGTGCGTCCACCAATTCCATTTAGGTCTTCAGCCAAAAATATAAAAAATAGTAACGAGAAAATATTTTATTATTAATAGAGAGCAACCCAACATTACTTAACAAAATTTCTTAGGTTGCTTAAATCCAGCTCTGATCAGCACCTATAGTTTTATAATTTGAGCTGTACTGCCATTAAGTCAACATGAGGTTGGAGACTTAATGAAGACAAAACTTTCAACATCATGATGACTTCATGCAATTTGAGGTTGATTATTAAGAAAGATTTAGCAAAAAAAACTACACAATCTCATGTCGGGGTTTTCTGCAGGGTTGCAACCGAGCTTTTGTTGAAGAGAAAGTAAATAACAAGACATATATAATTGCATTCATCAATCTGATTCAATTCTGCAAACTTGTTGCTCAAGAAATCAATTATACACTTCACAAAATATAGCCACAGCTGACAAAGAGATTCTCTCACCCATCCTTTCGATTGTTTGACTTTGACTTCAAGTCTTTTTTGGTGTCTGACCTCAAGTCATGGCAACACAGGATGAGCACCATGATCATGGAGGAAACAAACATGGGTATAGGCCCAAAAAACCATAGCAGAAAGTTGAGAGCAAAATACAGTGCTCTGAGCCCAAGTGACCAAAACTCACTTCCCCTTTGAACTGCATTTTCCACTTTTTTCTCTCTGTCCTGTTTTTCCAAATCTGATAGATCTGGAGTGCTTAGTAGGTAGTTTGAATGGACAAAGTGCCTGGTTGATTGAACAAAGAATGAGAAAGCAAAGAGAAAGCTTGACAACAGGCATATGTACTTGATAGAAATAATTGATGGGCTTGTGTTGCCATATATAATTTCTCTTGGGAAGAAGTTGTCTGTGGAGTTTGCCATCCAAGTTCCAATGAGAGAGCAGAGAGTCAAGGAGATTGTGGCTAAGGACATAGTTGCACTTGTGTTGGAGGCAATCACACCAAGGCCTCTGCTAACATTTTTTCTGACTATATCCTCATTATCACCCTGCAGCGAGCTCATAACAACAGTAGCAGCAAAAGAAATTAAATTGAATTAGGTTTAGGATCAACAAAATTGTGCAATTAAAGAAAATATGGTACTTGACTGACCTTCGAAATTTTCTCAACCCAAACTTTTTTGTCATTGATTTCATATCCCATGGATGTGTATTCAGGGTATTTTCTGTATGTGTACAGAAGGAAGAGGTGGTAGAATAACATGATTAGCAGCCCACTTGGAACCAACACCACATCAAGGTACTCATGAAGAAAATCCATGGTCTCCTATGGTCTCTTGCTGCTGCTGCTCAAAATGGCAATGGAGTTGCAGGGATTTTATAAAGGAGCAGTCCATTGCAGTTGGATTTGTTTAAACCTAGGCTTGACTTTGTGTTGGAGCCAGTTGATGCCTTTGGGAAGTGGTCATCTTTTGAGCTAAACTAATTAATAATAATTCATGCAAGGAGATTGGTAGTCGTAAGGCCAATTAATTAAACAAGATTGATTTTATAGGTTTTTTATCTTTTCCACATATTTGATTACCTTTCTAAATTGTTGGTTGCAATAAAAGATAATATAAAAACTGCAAAATATAGTATTGCAGCCTAGCTTCATTCATGAATGCCAGGTGGGAATGCTCTATGCCTCCTGTTCATGTCTCTAGTTTTATGGAATAAAGGAACCCACAGAGAATATTCAACATATGGGAGTCTCCATTATCTAGTTTTAGCTTAAAGATTACCAGTTGCTTTCATTTTTGGCAACAGCTTTCACTGTCAACTGGCTGCATATGAATTGGAAATTGAAAGCAAGTTCAAATTTGCAGCAAGTCAAAGCATATGCTCTTTAAACAAATCAGAAAACAATCCCAAGAATCATGGGCAGGACAGGAGAGCTCCATTATAAACAGAACAAGACCCCCTTACTGCAATGTCCTCTGCAGCACCAAGAGATAGGGAGCTATGGATTTTAAGAACTTTCAGAAGGAGTACCTGGATGTGGTGTTGGTGCCAAGTGGGCTCTTGATCATGCTAATTTACCACCTCTTCCTCCTCTATAAGTACCTCAAACATCCTCTCTCCACAGCCATGGGCTATGAAAACAAGGACAAAAAAACTTGGGTTGGAAAAATTCTTCAGGTAAAGTTCCATATCTATTTTATTTCTTCAAGTTCCTGATCAAACAAACTTGTTGATCCCAATTTGCTTACTGTGTTGGTGGCTGCAGGGTCAAGATAGTGCTACAGCTGTCACTGTGATTTCCAACAATACAACTGCAACTATTTATTTGGCAACAATCTCTTTAACTCTTTGTTCTCTAATTGGGGCTTGGATGGCAAAATCCACCAACAACTTCTTCCCAAGAGAAATAATATATGGCAACACAAGCCCATCCATTATTTCTATCAAGTACATTTGCCTCTTGACCTGTTTTCTCCTGGCTTTTTCATGCTTTGTTCAATCAGCCAGGCACCTTGTCCATTCAAACTACCTGCTAAGCACTCCAGGAGCTACTTCTAAAGCTGATGTGAGAAAAGCTAAGAGAGCGGTTGAAAGGGGAAGCGAATTTTGGTCACTGGGGCTTAGAGCACTATACTTTGCTCTTAATTTTCTGCTATGGTTTTTTGGACCTGTGCCCATGTTCGTTTCGTCTGTCACAACGGTTGTGATGCTATCTTGCCACGACTTCAAGAGGTCAGATAATAATCAAAAGTGGCCTGCCTCAGCTGTGGCTGTAAATGAAAGTGCATTATTAATTTCTTGAGCCTCAAGTTTGTAGAATTGGATCAAATTTCATTGAACATAAAAGCAATTTACTTCCAGTTTTTTATGTGCTCTGCAAATGGCCTTTGTTTGCTTTTCATTTTGGGTTTAATCTCAAGGTTACATGAAGTCCTGGAATTGAATAACTTGAGGTGTACTTGTACAACTGCCAGTCAATGTGCGTTTATACGGGAAGTTTGACAGGATGTTTTATAAAACAAGTTACACACACGCATGTGTTTGCTCTATTTGGTCAACTCAATCAAGCAATTATGTCAATCCTATTGCCTTCAAATTTAATATAGAAAGCTACAGCTTATTTTCTCTGTAGATAGAATATTCAACCACGATTCAGGTTAGGTGAAAATTCAACTGTTAGTTCATAGATTGTAGACATCTACTAGTACTATCCAATCAATATAAACTTCAATTTAGAAACCAAATTTTGGACCATAGACTGAAAAAAATGAAAATCTTCTAATTTCTAGCCTTTTGAAACTCTATTACATTCGTTTTTTCAATCAAATTACATTTCTCTGGGCTACCTACCGTCCAACAACTCCAAATTAAGATGCATACGTAATTCCATTTACAATTTTACATATAAAAAATTTGGTGCTTCCAATCCAACAAATTAATAATTAGACAGTAGTTTCAACTGTTTCTGTATGCTGATGAATGTTCACAGCCACCTCTGTGAATCTCTGACCAACCTTTTTAACCAGCTGCCTTCCCGGAAGCTGGTGGTCATGCAAAGGTCTGGTGTTTTTGTCCATGTAATGGAGGAGTATGACCAAAACGATGGAGGACATAAACATTGGTATTGGACCAAAAAACCACAGAAGCAGAGTCAGAGCAAAATAGAGTGCTCTAAGCCCAAGTGACCAGAAATCACCCCCTCTTATAACTGCCAGCTCCACGTACCAAGCCGGAATATTACTGTCTGGTGTGCTTATCAGATAGTTTGCATGAACAAAGTGCCTTGCTGATTGAACAAAGCATGCAAAGGCTAGAAGAAAACAAGTTAAGAGGCTTATGTACTTGATGGTAAGAATTGAGGGGTTGACGTTGCCGTAGATTAATTCGCTTGTAAAGACTTGATAGCTGGAACTACTTCCAAGCCAAGCTCCAATGAGAGAACTGAGAGTTAAGGAGATGGAACACAAAAAAGTTGCTGCTGATGTGTTGGATGAGATCACACTGAGGGCTGTTCCAATATCTCTTTTATCAACCTGCAATTGAAGGTAGGCAGAGGAGATCAATTTAAGCTGTCTTGGGCTAAACTTTGTTACAGAATTAAAGCTATCATTTGCAAAAGAGAGAGCAAGGAAGAAGAGTTTCCAGTTACCTGCATAATTCTTTCAACCCAAGCTCTTTTGTCATTGTTCTCAAAGCCAATGACTGTGGTGTGAGGGAGATGAAGATATCTGTAGAGAAGGATGATGTGATAGACAAACATGATCAGCAATCCACTTGGGACCAACACCAAATCAAGGTCCTCCTTTCCAAAGGCCATAACTTTCTTTGCTGGTTTGCAAACTGATAAAAGAATGAAGCTGGGAGATCTAATTTGTTACTGGATTTTTATGGTTGGAAGGACACCATAATTTCTATGTATTTGTTGAGGGGACCTCTGACTTCAAATGGGGCTGCGAGCACAAACAAGTTGCATTATTTTTTAGCTCAACCCACGTTTAAGAACTCTTAAAAAGAAAAACAAGGATTGTCTAGAAGTGTGTTAATTTATTGTGCAAGTACTAATTATGAGGGCTCTCTTTTTATTTTGGGGAATATTAATATAACAGGATTGTCTGTTTATGGGTGTCCGATCCTTACAGAACCAAGTTCAGTTTTAACTCTCTTACTGGATTGGTTACTTTGTGGTCTTTGTTTTTCATTTCCTTGTACGTTTCTGCTTTGCTGGCATCCGAGACTTTGACAAGAATGTTAGGCATGTCCCATTTGTTTAATGTGAAAATGAACAAGTAGTAAAAGTCTCATTAACAGTATAAACCAATAATTAATCAAAATTCTATCTATAAAAACATATAATTATTGAATAGCAGCCACCACATCGCTGACTTATTGGATGATCATGTTAACTTGTAAGGACTTGATGTGATCACCATTTCAAAGATTGACATTTCAGGATGAGGACTTTCTTTCGCGTAAAAGAGATTAGTCATTAATAATCATGATATGCAAATGTGATTAATTTATTCAGCAGCCACATAAATCTTGCAATACATGATTGTTTCTAAGGATAGACTTCAATAAGGGACCTCAAACCAAATATTGGTGTTAACTTGTAGTTGCTGAAGCCAGCCTCAAGGAAGAATTTTTTCCAATCCTTCTCGCTTCTCTCTCTTCCAGTAACCACAACCATCATCAGCAGGTCAAAGAAGAGCTTTGCTTCTGTTATTTCGTGCTCATCTTTCGTATCGTCTATCACTATGTCTATGATGATGACCTTTGTTTACACCATAATCAACCGAGCATGTCCAGCCTCAAAACAACTAGCACTAAGGCAGACACGCCTTCTCCCCTGCCGAAGGAAGACACTCTTCCAAGGTGCCAGACACCTGCCGAAGTTCCCGACTGCCGAAGCTCCCAAATGCCAAATCTAATCTCCATGACACGTGTCACCACCGCATCGACTTGCACAAAGTCCCACATCGGAAATCTACACAAACTTCCCACTTTCACTCCTCTATAAATAGGGAATAGTACTATAGTAAAAAGGGTAACTAATTTCTTACCTTTACCGTTACTCTGCCAAAGTTACTATTTATAGCTGACTTAAGCATCGGAGAGCCTTCGGCCGGCACCACATCGGTGTCCGAAGCTTAACGACTGCTTCTTCCACTTTGTCTTTTGCAGGGTACCTAGCTACTGAAGGTCTTAGCCACTTTCCCTGCTGAAGATCCGAGTCTTTTATCTAAGTTGACCCTCTACCATTTTGAGCATCAACAGTTTGGCGCCGTCTGTGGGTAACTAATTTCTTACCATTGCCTGGAATGGCTTCTCTGCATTTCTTCAGAACCTTCAAGCATTCCTCATCGCTCAAAGCATGTAAAGTCAGCTGCCAAATTACTCAATTTTGACATCAGATTTCGAAAACCATGTAGTTGCTAAAAGTACATATAGGCCAAAACAGAACATCACTGAAAAGTGAAATTTGCATACCTTGAGTAAAATAGCATCGGCTGGAGGGATGGCCTGGAACATATCACCTCCAATGAACTTCAAATTCTCAGTGTCTGCCAAATTAGCAACAACCTGTGGAAGTTCGAGAACGGTGCATTTCAAGTGAGGGAAGGCCTCACAAAGGATCCTAGCAACTTTGCCTGTACCACCCCCTACATCAACTAATGAACTCAACCCTTCAAAGATTGGCTTGCAATCTTTAATGACCAAGTTCATCATTCCAGAATCACTAGTCATTGCCTCATTGAAAAGACTGTTGAACTCAGGGTTTTGGTGCCCATATTCCCAAAATCTCATCCCATGTGCACTCTCAAATGGGGTTAGCTCGTTCCCTCGGAACCAATTTCCCAAGAACTGCCATGGGGTTGCAAGGGCTGGATCAAGCATTGCCAAAACAAAAGGTGACAAGCTGGGAACTTTATCCTTCAAGAGGAGCCTAGAAGATAGTGTAAGATCATATGCCTCTTCTTCTTCTTCTTGATTGCTACGAACTTGTTTTATAGCAAAGAAGCCAGAGTGTACCATGAGGCGCATGAGCCGGTGCACATGACCAGTTCTTGCCGGATGAATTTGAAGTGCTGTGACCAAGTCAGGGAGAGTAATGGGTTGGCTGTGGCTGTTGATTATGTCTGGTATGCCAAGCTGAACTGCACACTTGAGTGACATAGAACTGATGAAGTTGAATATGTGTTTGTACAAATGAGACTGAGCTTGAAACAACTCTCTTGCTTCGTCACCATCCATAATTCTTCTGCAGATTATTTTGCTACTAATAAACCAGTCCTGCCTATATAACTTTTAAGAACAAATGATTTCATGAATTACTCATAGGAAGATAAAAGTCAAATTCAGCAAAGCCTTATCATCAGATACCCTAAAGATAAGGAGAATTTTCCATCTGTTCTGGAAGAATAACGGCAGGACTTTTGAAGACGAAAAAGGACTAAAGGGCTTGTTGAATTTTAAGCTCACATGTCAATTCTTGGCATTTGGATTGATTTTGATTTCAATTAATGCTGTGGAAATGTCAATATTCTTAACATGGGCACAGATGAGGGTAAAATGAAGCGTTTTATATGCAACATGGGTTGCTTTCAAAAACTCATAGAATTGAAATAAAGGCGCTGAATTTCATTAACGTAGATGTTAACATTACAAGATTTCAGATTCTTAACTACAATTCTACCCCTACCCGAAAGAACACAAAAGAGCAAAAGGAAAAAAAATAAGCCTTTCATCTAGAACACACCATACCCAATACAAGTCCTTCTCTGTACTAAAACCCATCACAAACCTAAGCCCTCTCTCCCCTAATGCGCCTAGCGAGCTGAATATCCTTGGGCATGATGGTGACCCTCTTGGCATGGATCGCGCACAGGTTGGTGTCTTCGAAGAGACCAACTAGGTAGGCCTCAGCAGCCTCCTGAAGAGCAGCCACAGCAGAGCTCTGGAACCTCAGGTCGGTCTTGAAATCCTGAGCGATTTCACGGACCAGACGCTGAAATGGGAGCTTTCGGATGAGGAGCTCAGTGCTCTTCTGGTACTTTCGGATCTCACGGAGAGCCACGGTTCCGGGCCTGAACCTGTGTGGCTTCTTCACTCCGCCAGTGGCCGGAGCAGACTTACGAGCTGCCTTAGTGGCCAGCTGCTTGCGCGGAGCTTTTCCTCCGGTGGACTTGCGGGCTGTTTGCTTGGTACGAGCCATTGATGAATGGAATGGAAGATCGAGAGACGATTAGGGTTGCAGAGAATTGGGGATGCCGATAGAATTCGGAGTGGAGTGTGTATGAATTTGGGTATGGAGGGTTTTTTATAAGGCAGTGTGTTAAAAATGGAGATGGGAGAGGACTAATCGTGGCTGTTGATTCATTTGGCGTTATCGACGGCTGTGCTTGGTTTGGTGGGCTACTTTAGTTGCGGATCGATGACGTGGTAGGTTTTTGGGTTGTGTCAGAGCGCGAGTTTGAAATTTATGGCGCGGGATATAGAAGAGACTACAGCCGCTGATTCCGTGGTAATCAACGAGTGTGGTTGGTTTACTGTTTCGGGTGTTGTGGCCACGGATCGAGGATCGGTGACGTGGCTGCTTTGCTGTATTTGGGAGTTTGGGCTGCTCAGTGATTGGGCTTTTAATGTTTTCAGTTTTGTTACAATGGAACCCTGTGGGCTGGACAAAATATAAGGCATATGTGTTTTTTTTAATTGTTAAACAAAACGTTGTCAAATTTAAAATTTGAAATTACAGAATAAAATTATATGCAGATATAAAATATACAGCTTCAATTCAATAGCATCATGCCATTTTATATCTTCTTCTTTTTTTGCCAAAGCCATTTTATATCTTATTGACCCTTTTTAGTTTTGCAGAAGCACTTCCACTCTATTGTGCCATGGAAAAGGGTAAAGGCAAATAAGGGCAAACACTATTCACGTGAATCCAATAGCAACTACTATTTACATGAGATATGAGAAGAGGATTATGGCACAATGACGTCAGCTTGCCCAGACAACAGTCGTGGCAAGTCTTGCCTTCAGGCTTGCCCAGTTTGGTGGGCCCACTTCTTGCCATGACAACTTTTTCTCTGTGGGGGTTGTTTTTTAAGCCTAGCCCCTTTTTCGCCATGACAAAAGGGGAGGACGAAAGTGCTCTTAGGATGCTTTGATATGGGCTTTTCGAGTCACGCTATATGTGCTATAAATTAAAGGCGATTCCAAAATTTAAATACAAATTCTAACTCATTAGACCCTACCTCCATAGCAAAATCAAACAATTGTTCAAGACATTTGACTACGGCTGGTTTTCAAACGGAGTGTATCATAATAAGGGGATTGCAATTCCAATCCAAAAAATGTCGGAATAAAAATTATGTTCCAAAATATTTCAGAATTTCAACATTCATTTCAATTCAGCAAACTCGGAGTTTTCAAAAGATTTTGGAATTTACATATTTCAGAGTTTTATTGAAAATTTAATAAATGTCCAACGATTTGAAATGTTAAAATTGACTAAATGTTAAAAAGTCATACGGAAAAAACTATTATATATTATTACTTATATGTAATCATTTACCTTCCGTTTGGATGAAAGAATTGAAAGTGACATAAAATTCTAAAATGACGTAATTTAGATTTCCATCATTTCAATTTCTGGCAATTGAAGATTTCAATGTTTGGATTTATGTATGTTGAATTTTGTAAATGGAACTATGAAAATTGTGAAATGACGCCTATTTTGGTGAAAATTAAACTCGGGAATTTGATGCCCCAATTTTCACGATTTTTTATGCGCATCATTTAATAAAGCACTTAGAGCATCTCAAAGGGAGATGTCAAATACCAAACATCAAATTTAAATTTGATGGCTGATGTGGCAATTTGATGTCTTACATAGCTTTGCACTCCACCCGATATGTCAAATTAAATTATTATTTTATTATATTTTAGTGTTGATTTATTTTTAATTAAAACGAAAAGAAAAGAAAAAATAATAAAATATTCATTTGACATCTTGCTTTTGGGATGTCAAAAATAACATCTCAACCTCCAGCCTTCATTCAACATAAGCTTTGACACATCGGTTGGAGTGATGTGAGATGTTATTTCTAATCGTTAAATGTCTATGTGGCACTTTTGACACATCGGTTGGAGATGCTCTTAAGTTACCAAACAAGGGAATTGTCAATTTCTCCTTTTAAATTCCCAACTTTTAGCTAAATTTCGAGTTATTTTCCCTCATCCAAATTGAGGGTTATGAAATTACTCGTCTATGCATATTTGGTCATGAAGTCATATTTGGTTCAACATAAAATTAGTCATTATGTGTAGTCTAAGCGGGAAAGCCCACTGTATTTCAGAATTGATTTGGACTCGTCAAAATCAGAATTTCCAATCCAAATTGCACCCCTACATTTGACAAATTCTATAGGATTTTCAACAATGTTTTTATCACATTCCTATCGTGAAAACCATTCAAGTGGTGGACATTTTAGATAACAAAGGACATACTTATGTGGATTTGTGTATTTGGGTTGAGAATTTCCCCGAGGTGCTACATAGGAGAAATACTTGTGTGCAACGGGGATAGGTTTAGGGTTTAGCGTTGTTTTGCTATCCCGGCCAATCACATTATGATACACGTGATAAATTTTCCACTTGGCATATCGTGCTTGGCCGTGATAGCAAAACAATGTTATCTTTGTTTCACACAAGTTTTTTTAGTTACATAGATTATATTTTTACTTTTATGGCTTAAAGATCCCTCAAGAATGGCCTCCAAAAAAGAAGGTTAGAGAGAATGTTGTTACCCCTTAAAGAAAACCATTTTATAAAATTAATTCCAAATATTTCATGGTCTTGAGTAAATTTTCCATTCCCAGTTTGGCATTGTAGTGATCGGATTTCACTAAAAACTCAAAAAAATGACTCATCCCACCATATTATGACGTTGCCTTAGTTTTGGGCTCAATCCGAAATCAATTGGTCAAAGAAATTGTACGCTTCAAGTTCGTACGAAGTCCGTGCGAAGTTCGTACCGTGAATCTACTGGTTGGAACATTGCATAGTTTTAGTAATTGAATTTCATTAAAAACTCGCCAAATGACTCATTCCACCACATTATAATGTTGCCTAAGTTTTGGACTTGATACGAAATCAAATCGTCAAAAAAATTAGACACTTCAAGTTCGTACATGCTGTGAAAATAATCGATATCAGATTTACTGTGAGAAAAATCTCTTATCACTCCAAATAAGCAATGACAAACGGGCTCTTAGTTTTATTTTCCCAAGAGGCCATTTTCACTTTCAACATTCCAAATTCATGGGAGTGAAACCAAACCAAAGTCAGAGCCAGACGAGACTACAAAATTGCAGCTTCCATTTTCCCCAAATCACCAATTTCACCAATCCACCATTGTCTACAAATCCACTCATTCGAAACCAATAAAGAAACCCCATTTTCCCACGTCTTCTCCTTCCTCTGACCTTCTTCGTTTCTCGGCTCTCTTCCTCTCCAAGAAACTCACACACCCTCTGAACCAGTCAACCACACAATGATACATAAGCAGCCCATTTTGAACTGCGTTCTGACCATCGATTGAGCATTTGGTGCTTATCCTTATTAGCTTCAAACCAAAGCAAGGAGAATAAACAATTATATTTCTAGATCGGCTTGCGCAGCCATGGTACTGCCGCTCCTGAAGCTTGGGACTTTGCTCCTAAAAACTCTGAGCAAACCCGTAGCCGCCAGGCTCAAACAGCAAGCTGGGTTGCACCCAAGGTTCCGCCAGATCATCGTCAGCATGGCACAGGTATGTATATCTTATTACTGTTATCGCTATTATTTTTAGCAACGATTGGGAAATTTTGAACTTGAAGATATTTGATATCATTGGAAATGATCATTTATATTTCGTTAAATTATGACCACAATACATATTCTTTCTCCCATTTGTTGATAAATCATTCTTGCCCCCATTTGAAATCTACTTAATTTTTCCTCTGAAATCTGTACAGTCATAGCTTTTTTTGTTGCTGCTTCAATTTCTGAGCTACCCATCTAGTGCTTGGGAATCGCATTTACTTTATCATCCCAATCAACATATGGGTATTTGTGTTCGATAGAGTTGTGAAATTTTTGTTGACAATGGTGTATAGCTCACCTTACTGTTATGCTGCTGGAGTTGAACTCCTAGTTCTACTTATATGGAATCGTTCTTTCAGGTTTCTGTTACTTTTGTTGGTAAATGCATATTGGTGTATGAATATGACATTACAGGCACTTATTTGTCATGCTGATTTGTTTTCGAAATCTGCTTTCATTCTATGCATTAAACTATAGAGGGTTTTTCTGTCTAATTTATTGGAATCAGGCAAACCATCAAATCACCACAAGAATGCAAAGACGGCTCTATAGTCATGCAACTGATGTTGAGATTCGCCCTTTGAATGAGGAGAAGGCTGTGCAGGCTGCTGTGGACCTTATTGGGGAGCTCTTTGTTTTCTCGGTAATTTTATGGCTAGTAACTTGGTTGTGCATTTTCTCAGAGCTATTTTGTTATTCTGATTAATATCTGATTCCAGTTTATCAATACACACTGAAAGACAGAAACCAAAAGATAAATATGTAGATATGGGCTTTGTCTCATTATGTGCATATGTAGACATGTGAACCCATTTCGAGTCTGCATGTAGATGATGAAAGTCAAGAATCAAGATGTGTGCTTGGTTATAATTGTATGCATGTCCCTGTGTAACAAGAAATAAATTTGATTGCTTTATTGTCACTCAAGGACTCAAAAAGCTGGTGACTAATCTTATTGGGGAGTCTTTGAGAATACGGCTTCCTTGTAGAAGTACACATGCTCTGTAGGTGGGAATTATGCCGATGCTTTCGTATATAACACGGGGGGTGTGGTGTGGTGTCGTACTTAATGTGCCTAGGAATCTGACTGACTGGCCATATTTGCACCATAAAACCAACTGTATATGTATCGTTTGTTCCATGATTACTTAATGTCCAAATTTCAATATATATAGGTTGCAGTAGCTGTTTTGATCTTTGAAGTGCAAAGAAATTCTAGATCAGAAGCCAGAAAGGAGGAATTACGCAAGCAAGAACTGGAGGTATTGTGCAATACCTTCTTTGTTAAAATGATACCGACTCAATGTGTTGATTTGCATTTATATGGCAACTTTCACTTGCAATCATTTCATAGATCGCATGAGTTATATAGAATTTTATTCAGTTGTACTTTTACCTTCTTTTGAACACTTGTTTTGAGCCTCCAGTCCTTTTCAAACTGCTAATGCAGTTCAATGCTGGCGATCAAAATTGCTTACATTTCATCCGTATATCTTTAAATACAGAAGATGTGCATTTTTCCACTTACTGAAATAGTCCAAGTCCTATTCCGAGGTCAATTTTGTTACCAGATTATAATGGAAATGAACAAAGGAGATTGTAATTCTCATGTTAGGTTTACCTTTCATTTGTGTGCAAATCACTATCCTTTCTTTCCCGAAAAGAATAAACAGGAGAATGTCTCTCTCTCTCTCTCTCTCTCTCTCTCTCTCTCTCTCTC